ATTGGAAGGCAATTATTGATTATGTTTGAGGTGGACTGAGACACCTCAAGAGACACTATGAATATACCGAAAAAATTTGTAAGTTGCATCAATAGTGCTTCCCTATGAATTTTGCACCCTATGACCTCCATTCCTGGGCACAGCTCTACTGCTGTTAATGGTACACAGCACTATTTGTCTTTGCTTTGTCTCTGGAACCAGCAAAGTTACAACACAGGGCAGGTGCCCTTAAAGCTGGCAATGGGTAACAGTGATGGCAGGCCATCTTCTGTAAAGGCAAAATCTAACTCATTCTGAGAAATCTTTCCCATCATGAAAAGCTGAGCACTTCTCATCACTGCTTGGCTATCTGTAGAAGTACCTTTAGGAATTTTAGTTAATTGGCTGTGCTGGGCTGTTTTCTCAGCTGAAAAACTAGAGAGGTGCCACCACAGAGTGAATTGCTGTAATAAATACGAGGAAGTGAGGCCAAGTTAAAAACCACTTAGATATCACTGAGGTTGGACACAAGCCTTAGAGCTGTTATACTTCAGGAGAGTCAGACTTTCCAGAGCAACCAAAAAAATGTAGCAGACAGTCCAGGCAAGGCCCCTACCTCTGCAGTGCTTCTGGGAGTCAGCTAAGCCAGTAGGAAAACAGAGGCAAAGATACTTTGACTAATGTCAGTGCTGACAATGAAAGAACAAAGGATTCTGATGAAAACCAAATACACTCTATTAAAAAAGAGTTAAATTAAAATAAATGAAATTTTGGGCAAGCAATTTGAAAGTTGTAACTGGATAAGTCAGGTGGGTTACCAAAAAATAATTAGTAGAAAAAGTTATTTAGCTGGTTTAAGAAGAGCAATAAAGTTCTTTTAAGGGGTTCTGAGATTAAGAGATATGGCCTAGATTTTTTTTTTCCTTGAAATAAAATCCATATAAAGTAATATTTACTGTACTTCACAAAGTTAGAATTTTTTGAAACTAAGAGAATGATCATGTTCCTAAAGCATGGAGTATGAATCTCGTGAATATTTAATACATTAAATTTTATATATTAAGCAGAAATATACCTGTTTTTCTATCTGGATCAAATCTCCTGTAAAAGGCCAAGACATTCGTTGGTCATGAATCAGTATGGTCAGACTTGTCTCTACTTACATAAATCAAAATTTTAAAATTTTCTCTCAGGGCAGTATTTCGGTCACATGACTGTAAGTATTAATATCAATATCAAATATCAAGAAGATATAATCCAACTTTATTTAAGAGAAATGTGATGGCTTTTAAAAAACTAGTAACTTCATCAGGGTATGTGTTAGGGAACACATTGTATTAAAAAAGCACATTTGCATAAGTTTTTTAATTTATGACAGTCAGCAAAAAAATTATTTTAATTAAAAAAATTGTCTTTGGAAATCAGATTAATTATTTAAGTGTGTTTAGGAGCTGAATGTAATCCAGTCAGTTATGCATAAATATTACATAATAATAATAATAATAATAATAATAATAATAATAATAGTAATGGAACTATAAAATGGTTTGGGTTGCAAGGGACCGTAAAGATCATCTAGTTCCAAACTCCTTCCACTAGACCAGGTTTGTAAAGCCCCATCCAACCTGTCCTTGTACGCTCTCAGGGTTGGGGCATCCACAGATTCTCTGAGCAACCTGTTCCAGGTTCCTGTTCCACCCTCACAGTAAAGAATTTCTTTCTAACTAACCTAACCTAACCTAACCTAACCTAACCTAACCTAACCTAACCTAACCTAACCTAACCAACTCTCAGTTGGAAGCCATTACTCCTTGTCCTATCACTACAGCTCCTGTGCAAGTCTCCCTCTGGCTTCCCTGTAGGCCCCCTTCAGATACTGGAAATTGCTGTGAGGTCTCCACACAACCTTCTCTTCCCCAGGCTGAAGAGCCTCAATTTTCTCAACCTGTCTTTGAAGGGGAGGTGCTCTAGTCCTCTTGTCAACTTTATGGTCCTCCTTTGGACTTGTTCCAATAGTTCCTTGTGCTTATGGTGGGGGTACCAAAATTGTACACAGTACTCCAGGTGGGGTCTTACAGAGCAGAGAGGCAGAATCATCTTCAGCCTGCTAGCTACTCTCCTCTTGAGGCAGCCCAGCACACTGTTGTCTTTCTGGGCTGTGAGTGCAAACTGCTAGCTCACGTTGGATTTTCATCAACCATCATTTCCAAGTTCTTATCCATAGGGTATTCTCATTCAGTTCTCTATCCAACCTGTAGGTGTACCTAAGATTGCCCTGACCCAGCTGTCACTGTCTTTTTATTGAGCTTCATGAGGTTCACACAGCCCCACCTCTCAGGCATGTCCAGGTGCCATCCCTATAGATGGCATCCCTTCCTTCCAGCATGTTGACTGTACTACACAGCTTGGTGTCATCAGCAAACTTGCTGGGGGTGCACTGTCTGTGTCATAGACAAGGATGCTGAACAATATTGGCCTCTGTGGGACACACTTTTCACTGGTCTCCAGGTGCACAATAAGCTGCTGACCGCATAGATTAATGGATAATTATAGACTAATATATTCTCTACCAAAACAAAAACTGTAACAAAGCAAAAATAAATGTATTCCTTCAGTGGCTGCGTAGAGGTGTTCTCACATTAAACCAGAAAGCAGATCACAAAGGTTAGCTGATTTAACAGAAGATTTAAAAACTGGGAATAATTTATAATTTCTTCATATTTACAATGTAACTGGTACATGAATGAGTCATCTTACACTGTTATTATCATTCTTGGCTAGAGTGACAGTGATGAAAAATTTTCTTGTCAGACCAAATATAGAAGAAAATGGGGCATGTGTCTTCTAAACAAATAATTTTTAACACAATTCCAAGTGGTCTTATTTTTGTTTCAAATTCAACGTATTCTTGATCATCTGTTGCTCGTAACACTGATTTTCATTCCACTTGGTATCATACCTGCCTGAGTCAGCTCATGTTACTGTCAGTGATGATATATAAAGAATAAAAACTGCATTTCAGCTGCTGAGGTTCAAGAGGAAGGAGTGCACCATTAAACCAGAAGATTTACCTGAATTCACCAGGTAAAGCTCTGTCTTGTCAGTGCTTCATGGGTAACCTTCTATTTTTATGTCTCTGAAGAGGCAATGAATGAATTGGGCTAGGAGGGACCAGCAGGTGTTTACTGAGAAGGCAAATATGCTATTATGTAGCTTGTGGTCAGCGATCAGTATGCAAGCATACGAAGGCTGGGGACGGCTGCGATGGACTGTGACAAACAGCAAAGTGGCATGCTGATTGACCTGAGAGCCCAGCGGGGAAGCCAGGCAACACCAGCAAAATTCATGAAGTGTTTCTTTCTTGGTTGACACGCCACTGATGCGTGCTGGGGAGCTACTGTTAGTCAAGCTGTAGAGCAGCATCTGCCATTTCCAGACTCATCAGTGACACCCATGGGTAAGGTGGCATTTGGGTTTATGTAGCTGATGACAAACTGAGCAGTCCTTTCTCAGCAGTCACCAGTAGTTTCTCAGCAATCTTGCAAAGACAAAGAAATGTGTGCTCTCACAGCAGTACACTCTCACTCTTGCACATTGAGCATGCATTGACCTGGCTTCCTTCCATATGTGATTGTCAAGCTTCTGTTCCTCAGTCACTGGTTTTTATAGCAGAATTGACATAACACAGTTTCTCTGTGTAAAAGTCAAAATAATTCCCTTTTGTCTCTGCTTGTCTTTTTGTACCAACTTATGGAACAATTTCCTGAAATTTCTCTATTTATTTCCTCAATATGAAGTGAAACCTGATACATTATAATGTAAAAATGAGATTGTACATACTGCTGAAGGAGTGGAAACCAAGACATTCTAGCAGCAATAAGCAACACACCTACATTAAATAAACTTCCTTGCATTTTCATCCTTACTGGGATTGATGAATTTAGGAAATACTGATTTCCTAAAAAATGCTAGTCCTGATTTTAAGAAACCCACCAAAACCCACTCTTACTGACTGTCAAAACAGAATTTAACCCACTCGTTTTTTTTTTCACCTGTTTTCTTTCATATTATCTAAAACTGAATTTAATCATATATACCAGAGGAACAAAAGGTGAAATTGCATGATTTTCACAGTGGATGAGAAAATTCCATCTCTCTAATAAGAAGATGCTTTAGAGGAAGCACATAAAATCACTCTTGCAGGAGCCTTTCCAGAATAAAACAACAGGATTTTCAATCCCAGAATCAAATTACCCTGGTGACTGGACTCCCAAGATTGCCATAAAAACTCACAGAGTCATCAAATTAAAACAAAAAAACTGACTGCAGGTGTGAAATTCAAGATGACCTGTTTCTATGTGGCTACGTGTTTCTCAGACACTTGATGGCTAAAATATGGAATTTTTACAGCTTAAAAACCTAGTGTGTATAAAGACATCACTTTAAAACCTGACCAATACTTTCAGAATTGGGTATTAATTTTCCCCTTGAAGGTTAAAATCCCTGAATTAAACTTATTTGCACAGAGTTGCAGAAGCTAAAGGTGCAAAAATCTGTATCCCAAATTCTCTGTTGGAGATAAAAAGCAATAAAGTTTGTCTTGGCCTGTTAAGCATGTTATGCTAGATAACTTCAAAGATAAGCCTCATCTGATGTAGAAAAGGCTTACCAAATTGAATATGTTTAAACAATAGTTATGGGCTTTCAAGACTCCTGCTGAGGTCACAAGAAACATTTTTCAGTACAGAAGGCTTTTGTTTTTCAGAACAAAAGGCTGGTCTCAGTAATTGGTTGAGGAGGAAAGGTGTGACTATAGCTGCACTTGCTGGAAAACCACTGTCACCACCTCATCACATGCTGAGACAGAATGTTACCATTGCACTGCTGGGCCTTCAAGAGTGTTTGAAGAGTTCTCATAAAAAAAAAAAAAGCAAAACAAAACCAATCTAGCACTGTCTCTGCTTTCAGAATAGCACAGAACAGTTTTTAAATTATGAACATGTATCACTGAATAAGCTTACCTTCCTACGATGGGATGGCACAATGAAATAAGTTTCAATATTATGCTTCTTCAAGAAACTATTCCTTTCATGACCATATCCTGGTTCTACCTCGTAGTCCCCATTTAGGCACTCTAAGGTGGTCTTTGTAATGTGAACTTTCCTGGAGAGAAAAAATTAGACATCATTGTTTAAAACCAAGATACATTTTGAGCTACTTGCTACTGAAATACACTCCTGTACAAAAGTTCATAAAGAGGTCAATAGGACAATTTACATGCGAGACTACAGGTTTGATGTAAAAATAAAAAGAAAAAAAAGTGTTTTTTTGTACTTTTAGCTAAATTGAACATAGAAAAAATTCTATTACATGCATTTTCTAAACTTGAGCAAAGTGAACAGAAAGATAACTGTTGATTATCCAAACACTTGCAGATTGGCTGATATGTAGAGAGTGAATGTCTCCACATCATCTTCTACTTTGTGTGGCTTTCTTCAGTTTTTACCTCAACAGCTGCTTGGGAAAATATCCTGCTGTTTGAAACCTGTGACATCCCACTCCAAACCTCTCTTGTTTATAAAGCAGAAACTTCTTTTTCTTTTTCACTTCACATCTCTGACTCATATCATTCATCCACTGTTTTGTAGGCAGCTTTCTGATTCACTTTGTTTTGGAAACACGCCTATCTTTAATATTATTTCTGAGTTTTCTTATCCTGAAAAAATTTTCACATTTTCTTCTGAGAGACCCCTTATATTTGAAATTCAGAGAAGATATCTGAAAAGATTTTACTGCTTTCCTCTAATAAAAATGTGTTCAGATTTTTTTCCATGAGGTAATTTTAGGATAATGAGCACATAAAATATACTCCCAAAATTATCTAAAGCAGATGTATGCAGTACATAGAAATCCACTCATCATTACTACAAAAATTTAATTGGTTCCTTTGTCCTTCTGTACAGAAATTGAGATCTCATAAAAATCAGAAAGAAGATGGAAGGTCCTAGTCCAAATGTGAGCTACACACAGAACACCCGTGCACCTTTGCAAATGTTCACTGTGTGCATTTAAATTGTGTCCAAGGTTGTGCAATGAGTACTTAAAGTTCCAGGAATGCCCCATGGGTTGGTTGCAGGTTTATGTGCTCCTGTATCATTTGAAAATGTCATAATTATCTGAGTTTATAAACAGGTATATCTTTTCTATAGCACACAGCTAGTGTTGAAAATCTTGCCATGTAAAAGGAGCAAGGCATCCCCTCTCTCCCCTCAAAGTTTAGAAATGTCTAAGGGTAAAAAAATCCTGGAACAGCCACAGGGTTTCACTTTTGTAACATGAAATGATCAAAGTCTAATATTCTTACTTTCCTAATCTTGTCTCATTCCTACTTTTTGTATTCAACAACTTTTAAAAATGATTTTGTTTGAAAATGTTTTGTTTCTAATCTAACCTATTACAAAAATATCATTTGGAAAATTACAGGGGATAAATCACATAATACATTGATTGCTCTTGCCAAACACAATTGTTTTCATCAATAGAAATTACAGTGCAAATGCCTCAAAAAAGGAAAGAAATTCTTCACCCATACAGTTTTCTAATTTTTTTGCTACAGTTCTTTTTCAGACTTACCCAGGCAGTCCTCCAGCTTCCATAACATTAGCTAACGTCACATCATTTGACCAGACATCATATTGCCATTTTCGGAGACCCAGGACCCCACAAAGCACCCTGCCTGTATGCAATCCAACTCTCATGTTGAGATCAACCTCTGTGGCTTCTGCAACAGATCTGTAATGGACAGCATCAGAATATTAATATTTAGATGATGACTGCTCTTCATTTTCTCTCCTCCCCAAATGAACACATATATTTATACATGACTGAATAGAAAGGGTCTTATAAAACCTGAAGTGGTATATTCAGGTACTCTACCTTCACTAGTTTCAAAGCCTTAATTGTAATTCCAAAAAAATAATTTTCTTGGTTATATTTTAATTACTGTTTAACCAAAATCTCAGTATTTCTAAATTTCTTGACCATTTCTGTGAGAAAAGAGGTACAAAGAGGCACTAGTTGAGATGGCCAATGTATAAGTAATTATTCCCATTCTACTCATTCTCATTCTACTGGTTCAATTACCCAGTTACCAGAGTACAGGACAAAGAAAATGATGAAAGTAATATATAATTGTAAGAACTACAGAGTGATTATAAACGCTAATATCTTCCCAAATCTCCTATAAGAGTGGTACCAAACCAGCCTGTAACTAGTTTTGCACCTGTAAATTAAATTCAATGTTCAGAGATTTTCACTGCCTAGCTGGTAAAGGATGAATTAATCTGCAGAATTTTTATTAAAATAATTTTTTTTAGTGCCACAATAAGGAAAGATTCTTCATTTCTGTAAATGAAGGGCACGCTATGACTTGAACTCTGCATAAAGTTGTGCACTGAAAAGGCATCTTGAAACTAACTTAAATATTACATGTTATGTAATAAAACTGTACATAGATTTTTTTCAGCCCTTTCTGTTAAAGAAAGGAAACTGACTACTCAGTGTAAGAATTTATTTTCACTTGATTTTCCTGATTTGAATTTTCCAATGCATTTAATAGAAGAAGACCTTAAAATGATACTCTAGCTATAATTTTCCCTTGACCCTCATTGACCAGTTTTTTTTTTTCAAGTATCATCCAGTAACACTGGATTTTCCAGAGATGCCTTTAGAAAGACTTTTCAACTATTTCAGAAGTCATACTTGTTTAAATACAATTAACAGAAAGGTCAGCACAGATCAAGATGTGGGATATGCAGAAAAGATACCTGGCCTCAATTTAAATATGCAATTTAAATATGCGCCTATGAAGTGCTGAAGTACATACCATATCAGCCATCACTAATGTGAGTAGCATGGAGATCTCTTTTGTCCCCACAAAGAATCTGTGCATAACACATTTTTCAGTCATATTTTATGCAACAGCACAGAAAGGCTTATGCACAGCTTTCTGAAAGATTAAATATTGCCTTGTCCTATTCCTACTCACTGCAAGTCAGCTCTCCCTTACTCAGTATCTGTTCCCAGTCAAGCCTCGAATATAACTTCAAGGCATCCTAGAAGGATTCTAGTGTTAGGAAGCTTTGTTGTGCCCACTGTTTGACAAGGCTTTGAGGAAATGAAAGACCCCAATAACATAAGCCACCTATCAATAAGGGACCACACTTTGTAGCTCCACCTGAGCATGTGCATTTTGTCATTAACAGATTGACCTTACACCAAGACTATACCTTGCAAGACAAAGCCGTTCAGGATTACACCTTGCCTGCTATATTGTCCTGCATAATTAAGAATCTATGTAATAATCTTGATTAATGAACCCGCAAAAGTTTGAGTTTCTCTGTTCACAGATGAGTGTGGGGGGTTTTTTTGTTGGTTCTCTCCCTCTTTTTCCATTTAAAAAAAATAAAACCTCAGACTAAATGTATGTGGAAGGACAGTGAAATTCAAACACAGGTGAAGTCCATTCAAGGCTTTGACATTGCTTTTTCTGACAGTGGTAAGTTTAATCTCCTTTTAGAAATTTTAATAGAATAACAAAACGTAAATGAAAAAGGATGAACAGAGAAATACAACATAGATGACTATGCTCCTTGTTAAATAAGCTGAACTGTATAATGCACCAATGAACCATATAAACCAGAATCTGAAAACACTTTGTGTTTCAACAAAAAATTTCCATAAGTAGTCACTTTGTCCAAGATCTAAATTGAGAATGCATTTCTACATCTTTCCCAGAAGCTACAATGTGTTTCAGAGATGCTTTCATCATTATTAAATTTGAGTAGGAAAAAAAAAGCTCCTGAACAGTTCATTACATTTTTTGAGTTTGTCTTGTAGACGTTTGTGTTCTTTATGCAGATGATTTCCATAAATATACCCCACTGAACTATAAAAAATGAGGAATATTAGGTAATATAGAAAGAAGAGGCTTCAAATATAAATTCAGAGCAGTACAATGATAATGTTCAACATTTCTACAATAAAATATGACAAAAATGTCCACTGAGTTATTTTAAATTATAAATACATTTCTGAGAAAATATCACCTGTTCACAAACAAGTGAGAAATAGGAAAAAGAAGTTTCTCATATAAATTATTCATTATAACTTATTCTCTCATAAGTTCCTATACTAAAATTTTCCCAACGTTAACACAATAGTAGGCCCAGAAACAAATGGAAATTAAAAACCATTTTCTTTTATTTTCCAATTGTGTTCAGAGTCTATGCAACTGACTAATAAAAGCATATACTCTGTCAGCTCGAGTTTTCTACAAAGCCTTTAAATTTTATTTCCCTCCCTAACTACAAATATTTTATGTACTGCTACAAGTCATGAAAGTAATTTATATCGCCTGTAGAACAGCTCCAGACCTGTGCTCCTGAGCACTCTAGGAGGGAAACAAGAAATCTGTGCATGACATTTCTTATAATTATTTAGGTATTTTCTTTAGGTCTAAAAGTATCTGCAGAAATTAATGTTTCCTGGTTAAAGGCATAGATATGATTTTTGGTTCAATCACATACACTTCTCCAGGGTATTGCTCAGAGCACTAGGACAGAGAGTCAGGGCTGTTGAAGGGCTGCTGGCTTGTTTTGGCAGAGGTGCAAGCTGACCAAGCTTTCACCACTGGTAGACAGCTTCTTAAAAAGGCAGCTGCTGGTTCTTTAAAAACTTGAAGTCAGTTCACTTCTGCCAGTTCAAACATTTCCAGGCTCTGGACTTTTGGATGACCAGGGGAAAAGTTTCAAGAGTGTTGACATTAGGGAAGTTAATGCATCTGTCTATTTCCTCAGACAAAAAACACACAGGAAAACTTGGTATTTCCACTGGACTTATGAAAACCAGCTACTGTAGATCCTCTCCCTTTCCTGGTGCTTTTGGTCAGCCAGTGACCAAACCCATCGGAGGGAGACAGTTCGAGCATCTACTTCCCCAGTGCAAAACCCTCCCCAGGTGCAAATAAGCCCAACTTCCATCTGTGAGGTTTTACATGATGACTGGTGGAGTCATTCCCATTTGGTGGAGTCATCCATTTGGGATGAAATCACCTACATGTCACAGAACACAGCTGATAAACCCCACTGGGCTGCCCAGTTTTCAGGAAGTTGGGGTTCCTGGACAGTTTACTTCAGACCTCCTCAAGGCCCACATGCAGCTACAGCACTCAGTCAGGTCAGATGAGACTTATTCTAAAGTAATCCTTCCCCTCCTGACCACAGTAAGTGGAGTTTGAACTAAAGCAGTAAGCAGCAGCTGCTGTGACCTACAGATGTGCTCCTACCACACCTTGCTCCCTGCTACTACACACGACCTGTGATGCAGCTAGTGATGCAATTCCCTCTGAGTCAGCACTAAAATGGCATCCTAGTAAGGTGTTAACATCATGAAAATGTACTGTCTGTGTGACAGCAGGAATGATTCCAGATTCCATTCATGTTTTGATAAGTTTATGAACGTTAACCAGAGTATTCTGCAGTCCAAAATCTAGTATTTATATACGGCTCACTCAGAATCTTTCCTTATTGCCAATTGGAAACATTACAGATTATTTCTTGCTCTGCAACATTATTGAATGCAGTTAAATAAGTGTGTCATTTCACCACATTTTATCTCCTAAGAAGAGTTGCTGGGCTGAGCCAAAGAATTTTTAAATAAAATTTATATCCACTGATAAAGTGCTGCCTAAGGAAAGGCAAAACAAGTAAGAATGTATAAAATTTTCTCCATAACACTTGCTTTAAACAGAACTCTAGACAGCTTTCGGAGGAGAGAGGGAGGGAAGAGCTTGTTAGCTGGGAAAAAACTTTTCTACATGGCAATTAGCTAACAAATGTGTCTGCTTATAAGGTAAAACACTGTAAAAGACAAACTTTCAAATGTGGCAATCAATTTAAGTAAGGTGAAGTGAATACTTGGCCTAACACAATATTCATAACCAAGGTGAGGACGTCTGCCACCTTAGAGGCACCAATGAATATGGTCATTTTAATAATATTACTAACAAAAGCCTGGCAGTCAAAACTCATGTGGTAAGAGAAACACTGGTGGTATTGAACACTTCACTCATTGCTGTGGTGCTTTAAGTGACTCTGAAGCAGAACAAACAGCTGGCCTGTGCTGAGGTACTGACACAATGGCTGTAGAAATTCTTTTGGAATAGAAGCAGAATATAACACTATTTGTTTTGTCTGTTTTTAAGACTAAAAAGCTCCTCCTGTAATTATTTTGGTTCTGTTCCCTTGAAGAAAACACTTTGAGGAAGGTGGATGAAATTATGAAAATTATAATTATTTTATAATACTTTGAAAGTTATGTTCTCAGATGATACATTCAGCACCATATTGTAGGATACTTAAATAACAGTTATGCAGAACATGAAGAGAATGGAATGTATCAGTTTATCTGAACACATTCAACTCAGTCCAATCACAGAACCATCAGTCAGACATAGAAGTTTCTATTCCTTGATTTTTCTGGAAAAAAACCCCACCTCTTGTTAGTACATATCTCTGGGATGGGCACTTTAAACAGATCCATCACATGAACCACAGCTCAAAAGATTTTATCTATTTATTTATTCATCCCAGGTAAAATAACAAACCTATCACTAGGGATGACAAATTCCAAGCATAAATTTACAGTGCCAAGACTTGAATTCTACAGTAAAATGAATAGACTTTAAAAAGACTACCATCTGGCATCCACCTCTGCATGAAAGGGGAAGTTTTAAAAAAGTGACTTTGTATCTCATGGAACTGATAAACAAAACCTAATAATCACACCAATACAACATAAAATGCTGCATTCCAACTTCATTCTCAGAAGCTCCTGACTTCTCCTTTTCATTTACTAAACACATTTTGAAACAAGTTAGTTTGGGGAATCTATCTTGTTACTTTGGTTTCTGTGAAGAAGAGAGACTAATTGTGCTTATGCACAAAGAATGCAGAATAGGTCCTCAGCTATCAAACAACCCTAAGTAAACCTGCCATTGTCTTAAAACCTTGCCTCTTACCCATCTTACCCTCTCACCCTGCTCTGACCAGTAATTACACAAAAGACCTAAAATTTATGAATTCTTTAAAAAAGTAAAATCCTGAAATGGCCAGTTATCTCCTACCACAACTTCTGACTAAACATGTCTAGATAACATCCTACAGCTCATCCAGTTAAAATCTCAAAATTCCTGATGCTGAAAGGGGCCTCTGGAAATCATTTAGACTAACATTTTTTTTCTCAGAGAACAGCTAGCTGCTCAGAACTGTACCCAGCTGGGCTTAAATTTCTCCAAGGACATAAATGCCACAACTTTTCAGTGGAATCTCTCAAGTATCTAACTACCTCCACAATAAAAAAAAAGCATTTCTTCTATTGAAATTGAATTTCTTTTCAGGTTGTGCCCATTTCCTCTTGTGCTGGCACTGAATGTCACTGAAAAAAGTTTGGCTTTATCCTCTTTACTCCCTCTCACTAGGTATTTATCTGCATTGATACGAATTCCGCTGAGCCTTCTCTTCTGCAGGTTGAACAGTCACAGTTCATTCTTTTCTAATTCAACTCCTTTTTCAACTTTACCTCATTGTCAGTAGCCAATAAAATATACCCTAAAAAGGGAACATGTTAATTTCTAATAAAACTGAGACATTCTATAGAGGAAAGTTCCAACAGCTATATCAATACCTTATCTGTATACTTAAAATACAGCACAACTAACGAATTAAACATTAATGTTAGGTTTAAAAGACGATGAGAGCATCATCTATTGCTTTCCAGAGATTTAAAAAAAAACAAACCCAAACAAACCAAAAGGCTTTTGAAAAATGTGTACAAGACCTGTACATGTAATTATGTTTCTAAAGGTCAGGGCTTCCTTATAAATGGCATATCCATATACTTCTGAAAGAATACACATATTCTTTAAGGATTTTATATTATCATAGACTATCACAAATTATAGATTAAGAAATTATTAATTTTATCAATTTTAGAATGGTTACAAGCGTGATGAACTTGCATTGAATAAGGGAGAAAATTAATGAATTTACCCAACTTTTCACACTCTGAGAGATTTTGTAGTATGTTTAGCAAATGAAAAGGAGAAGTGGGCAATAGAATACTGAAGAAATTTTCCATCTTTATCCTTTTTGTCCTGGAAAATTAAATAGGTCTCCAGCTTCACCAAAAAACTCATTCACAGTTCTCTCACATCCATATTTTTTGACTTGGCAAAATAATGATCAACGTAGACCTCTCAAGCATAAACAAAATTCTGAGCAGCAAAGTAAATTTCACATTACATTTCTGAAAAGCAGAATGAAGTTTTAAACATTACATAAAAAAGGAATAATCAGCAGGCTATGATTTTGAGACTACAAACATATATTCAACAGGCATACATCAGGGCTGGTTTTGAGTTTATATACTGGTGTGCAAAATGAGCAATGTTTATCACAGCAAAACAATAAATTTGACTTCTTTCATTGTGGCAATAGGCAATAGGGTGTATTTTTTTATTTTCCATTATCTTTCTGCCACCTATTCAGTACATGTAGGTGCCGCCTATATGCACAATTTACACACTTACTCCTTGCAGTGATTAAATGGAGTGGAGAATCAATGTCTAGAGTGGCCATTCCTGAAATCTGGGTCCTGTGGCCTGGATGCAAGAGTGTGACTTGCCAGGTGACACAGGTGTTAGCAGCCACAGATGTTTTCCTAAGAGCACACTTCATGAACACCACACGGGAGCTGTTGCAGCACTCCCGTCTGGGCTCACCAAGCTTGGTACTTACGTGATGGTGTCAATCATATCCAGTCCCATTTCAACACAGCAATGGGCATGATCTGTTTTGGGCTGGGTCAGTCCTGATACGCAGTAGTAACAGTCCCCCAGGATTTTTATTCTTCTGCAGTGATTTTCCTTTCATAAAAACAGAATGGGAAAAGTTTTACTATTTATATAAATATTCCAATATTAGCAGGGTAAAAATCTTCTCTGATACTATGCAATAATTCAGGGAACCTTTCTGTGATTAAATGAGGTAATTTACAGTTCATGAAATCTGGATTCCCTGTACACAACAACTGACACACACATTTGTTTATTTATTTAAAAACAGACACATATATACTGGAGACCAGCCCTGTATCATTCAACACACATGTGTTAACACTGCTTAATGATATAGCTCTGAACATATATTATTGCCTTGCTCTCATGCTTGGTTACTATGAATTAAAGATTTGCAATGAGACTTCATTTCTATATGGACCCAAAACAAAGGACTGAGGCCAAACCACTGCTGAATATTGGGAAATGTTTGCATTCTGAAAAACTTTTGTTTCAAGTTCAGTTCCAATTCACCAGGAAAGATTGTTTATTTATTTGTAAAGGTACACACATTTTTGCATTTCCTACTCATAAACCATAGTTTGCAATACAGCATGATCAGTATGACAGACTTGCAGATGAGAAGCTAGTCAGTTTGCATTACAATCAAATTTATCACCTGTTTGCATGAAGTTTAATTTCTACAGCCAAAGAGGTCTCTCCCATTTTAAAAAAAACAAACAGAAATGATGGCATGTGATAATTGCTACCTCCACCTGAGCAGTAAGTTCATTTCTAAACAGAGAGCACATAACAAAATGTCTTCAAAAGAGCAGTACCTTTAACTAATAAACTATAAGGAGACATGAAGAGATGATGGTATCTTTTGTAACTAGACTACAGCAACATTTAGAGTTTGGCACAGAAAAGTAAATAACCTGATTGAATGAATCCAACTTACAAAGCTGGGATTATTCCAGTAAGCACCATGAAAAATTAACTGTTGTGAATATGATGGGAGGGGATTCACAAAAGTCTGATTATTTTCCCAGCAGTGTGCAATATATTCAACTTCAGCAACACAGAAAGGGAAAAAAAAAAAAAAAAAAAAAAAAAAAAAAAAAAAAAAAAAGAGAGATGATGATGGAATTATTTAAAATTTCTGGAAAAAATTACCTAATCATATAATCATACTTGTTCATTTTCATGCAGGCATATATATATTTTCATCCAGTCTCCTGCCTACAAGAATTCAAGCCTTCCTGAGTTGACCACATTCTCCACATCATTGCCCACATTCCAGCTCAGAAGCAATGATTATGCCTACAGTGATCCTTCTCTCTCTGACATTTCACCATGTACTGCCAGCATCTGGGACTTGTTGCTGCACACACTTCCTGCTGCAGGCATTCCCATGCCTCTCTTCTTTGTAAATGGTAATCAGTATTGAACAAGTACCATAAAATAAGAACTACCTCTGTTCATGCATGGAAGAAGATACTGTTTGGGAAAGTTGGCTTGTCTACTTCTTTTTACAAATTAACCAGCAAATTCAGATCTCAAATAAAAAATGCTGTCTTTTTGATTATTCTTAAGTAGTACAAAAGGCTTTTCCAGTTGTGACTACTTAATATTTGTTCTTCTGTGCAGCAGGATTTTAAATATACCACCAATTATCATTATTAATATA